GAGCAGCTGGTGGGTTCGACACCGACCTTTTGGTTAGCAGCCAAGTGCCTTAACCACTGCACCAGCAGAGCTCCTTAATTCGCTATAATTAGACACATCTGAAAGTGCACAGATGTACATGATGAACGAAATCACTGTCACTGAATTATACATGTAAAAATTGTTGAACTGGCAGATGTTATGTATATTTTTATCATAATTTAAAAACAAACAACACTGCACAGACGTGTGTGACATCTGTGGTGCGTGGGACAACGGGGACACTCAGCAGCTTCTGCCAGCGCATCTTCACACCGTCACTCACTCTTCAGGGAAGTGACCCGAGGGTGTCACGTCCCCCTTCCCACCTCTGCCCTCCATGACTGCAGTGGCCCTCGGGAGGGCCTACAGGGCCAGACGCTAAGCAGATCCCTCACAGGGACACGAAGGACTTCTCCGTGAAGCCCTCGCCTGCTGCTCCAGTGCCCATCTCCTCACGCCCTCCACCTCACCGCCACGCTGGTCCCCTGCCCAGGACAACTTTCCCCTACGCAGCTCACAGATCCACCATCAACGTCATCTGCACTGTGAGCCACTCCGCCTTCCTCAGGAGGAACGTCTTTCCTGCACAGAGACCCCTCTTGATCCTGGAAGTCTGTAACCTCCTTAGGGACCCCTTCTTTTTCTTACTGGTATCTGCCCTGGCACGTCAGCAGTACTCAAGAAACACGGAGGAAATGCGGAAGTGAACAATCTTTCCTTCTTCTGTTGCTTTACTGACCAAGTGTCTCTGAGTGCCTATCACGTGCTCAACGCTGGGCTCAGAGCTGGGAACACAGCAGTGGAGGTGGTCAGCACTTGCGCTCCGGCGCCTAGTGCCACCCTAACAGAAGATACCACAGATGGAGGCTTTAGTCCAAGTTCAAAGTGCCAGGCTCCAGGGGCTGGGTGAAGGCCCCTCAGCCTTGGGCCGCAGCCTCCTTCTGCCTCCTGCTCCCGGCTCACTGACGCTGGAGGCTTTTCTTCACTCAGCTGCTGGCTGCTTAGGCTGACAAGCCCAGGGCTGACAAGTAAAAAGGCACAGTCCCAGTGTTACCAAACCACACGGCAGGCCATTCATTCAAGTCCATTGTAAGTCCCAAGGCCAGCAGAGCATGGCAGGCTGCTGAACAATGACAAGGCTACACGCAGGGTTCAAGCGAGCCGTAAGCTAGAGACCACTCCCCAAGGCTTCTCCTTATCTATGGGAAGCAGATCACATCCCTAAGGCAGCTACTCAGCTGCTCCCGGTAGATTCCACCATGGAGTTGATTACCAGTCTCATCATGGGGAATACTACATCCAGCTGCCCAGCCACTCAACCAGGCCCAGCCAAGCTGACACACAAATTTAACCACCACAATGTACATAACAAAAATGTATATAAGTAAAAAAAAATTTTTATTTAAAGTCAAAAATATCCATACAAATGAAAAAGGAAGCTAATACTGGACAAAGAATACCCAATTTCCTATCATTAGCTCTTGTTTTTGTTGTGTAATATTTTTAAATGGAATCGTGACTGTATTTCTCAGCAATATGACCAAATTAAAATAGTAACTCTTTTCCTGCACCATTTCCTAAATATTCTTTTGCATTTAAGTTTACACAGGGCAAAACGTATACTAAAGTTGTGTCAATGGTGCACGTGGAACACAGTAAGGGTAGGAACATGTGTGCATGTTCATCCTCCATAACCTGAACGCTTGGCAAACACACATTGCCAGGCCACAAAGTTAGTAAGTCACTATGCAAAAAATCCCATCACACTCCAAAGTCTCGAAGCACAAACCAAAGGTCACCACAGACCTGCCAGATCTGTCTGCATTCTTTAATTTGAAATTCAGACCTTACCGTCCAGAGATGGCATCTCTGTGGCTGCTTGGGAACGTCAAAGTGTGATGTCCTAAATGTACTGTTTTACCGAGAGTCACTCATCACCAAATATTAAGAACCTGTCATGTGACAAAAAAAAAAAAAACCCACCTCACTGCCAACTCACAGCAACCTCCCTGGGTTTCCAAGGCTGTACATCTTTATAGAAGCAGACTGCCCGACCTTTCTTCCTCAGAGCAGCTGGAGGAACTGAACCAACAACCTTCTGGTTAGCAGCCAAAGGCCTTGCAAAACCCTCCTCCTCACAGAATTGCTGTTGTAGCATCTGGAAGAGCAGGCAAGGGCTGAGTATTTGATGGAATGAATAAAATACAGTAAGCCTTTGGGTCTAACCTCTAGCCTTATAAGAGGACCGATCTACCAGAATGTCCACAAGTTTCAACTGCGTTCTATGTACCAGGCACTGTGCAGGGCAGGGAGGCCAGGATGGAAAGTCAAAGTCAGGGTCATCAGTTTTAAAGTGACACAGACTGCAACCAAGTAAAAATATAAATTACATGACAGAGAAGTATTTTCTCACTTTGGTGAAAATTCACACACCAGAACATCCATCCACACAACTCCCACCTCTGTCACTTAATAACAGTGATGACATTTCTCATGCTGCGCCACCTTATTTCAAGTGCATGAGAGTACCGGCCAGCAAATGTAAAATGTTTTCTCATTGTGAGTTCTGACTGAAAAAGTGAAAAACAGTGGCTAGTGGGATGTAAGGGACAAATTAAGAAAGTGAAAGACATTTTGTGTCAATACATTGATCAAAGGAGCAGAACATTCAGGATCATGGGCACTCCAGCAAAGCAGGGACTCGTGTGTGTGCATGTGTGTGCGTGCTCCACACACACGCCATATCTGTTGCACTTAAAACAGTGCCAAGCACATAGTAGGCCGTCAGTAAATACTAAACAGATGAAGGAATGCTTAGTTTATTTAAGATGCTACAAGGGATACAAGCCAAGTAAGATGCAGATCCTACGAGACCATGCAGAAAGTTAGAATTTAACAGGATAAGACAAAAATGCAAACAGAGCAAACACACGGCAGGATATAAATGGCACCAGAGGAAAAAGGCCAAGAAAGTTGGCAGCACGTCCACATGAGGGCCAATGAGGCAAAGGCTTACGAAGGAAGTGGCCTGAACTGCACTTCTATTCTGACAGCTAAAGGCTGGTTTGGGGGTGGTTGACGGAGCAGGGGGCTGCGTGCAAGAGCGCAGTTCGGAGGGGGGCCACAGCAAGGGGGTCCGATTGGAACCAAAGCCGTGCCAAGAAGCGTTGGATCGCATCCTGATGCCGGGTGAGAAGTCTAAACTCGGGGAAGCCACTGCAAGACCTCCCAACAGGGCAGAGCGCGGCCATCCACGCTGAAGAAAAGACGTGTTGAGGGCAGACCCAGGAGGTCTGAGTCTAGCAGCTTCTGAGGCTGGAACAGTTGGCCGCTGGCAAGCAACTTTCCTTTAATGGCCCTTGGTTACCATTTTCACAAAGCAAAACACGTGGCAGGCTGTCAGTGGGAGCCAAGCACCAAAGCTGTGTTGGGGGCTGCTGAGTGGATCTCTACTCATGAGGACCCACGTGACGGCAGAACTGCCCCACAGGGTCTTCAGGCTGTAACCTTTACGGGAGCTGATCGCCAGGTCTTGCTTCCGCGGAAGCCCCTGGGTGGGTTCGAACCTCTGACCTTTAAATTAAGCCGAGCGCTTCATTAAGTACTCCATAGAATTACGTCTCTTAATTCTCGCCATACCTGGTGAGGAACGGACGACTACTACCTCCACTTTAAAAGCAGAAACTAAAGCAAAGACAGGTTCCATCTTTGTCCGGTAAAGACTGACTCCTGCGGGGGTCTGCACTCCAAGACCTCAAAGATTTCTCCCTTCGAGGAGACTACGGTGACTGCGGCGACCCCTAAGGAGCGAAGACACCCGAAAGGGCTGAGGGCGAGGTCAAGCCACAGAGAAAAAAAAACTTTTTACGTGCTGCCGCAGGACCTGCCGGAAAGTTCACTCCAACTCTTGGGCCACTGACTCCCTGAGTGACCTTGGGCAAGTCGCGTCTTTCCTCGGAGCATCAGCTTCCTGCTCACGTCCCCGAGACCCGCGGGCCCAGGGCGAAACCTTTGCGGTCTCCCTCACTCGGCCGCGGCGGTCTGCTGCCTGCTGAGGGCTGGCCCTGTCCCGGTTCCCTCCCGGCCTCGCCGCCCCCGCACCACGGGAAACCCGGGAGCACCCCGAACGTCTCCCCGCGGGCCTGCCGCCCAGAGGCTACACAGCCCAGGATCACTGGGCCTCTCACCCGGGCGTGCACCGTCCCCATGGTTCCCTCTTCGGCCGCCGCTTCGTAAAAAGCTCTCGGCGGGCGAGAGCAAAGGACAAGTTCCTGGCGGCAGAGCGCTCCCACAAGCCCCGAGCCGCTGCGCACTGGGGGCGACCATGATGCCCCGCCTTCGCCCCGCCCCCTTAGCCTCGGACACCTCCGTTCATTGGTCCTCCTGAGCCTGTGACCAGGATCTTCCACCGACGCCGGAAGCCCAGCGGCCTCGAGTCGGCGCAAGCGCAGAACGCCCAATGACGCCTGCGAAGCTGTTGGCACGTGGGTAGCGGATCTGTGTGACTGCGACCCGGAGCCAGACACCTGTACTTGCGGCTGGGAGAAACCATACCAGCCAAATCGTGTTCTAGGCCTTCCCTCAATTCTCTTGACCCTCCTGGCACCCCAGCTCAGCTGGGGAACTCCCCGCCACACCTAGCCCGGAGCAATGGACCTGGCCGCTAGCAGCTGGAGTTGCACAAACCCGGACTGGTGCCCTGGCCCTCTCCTGGCTGTATGGGCCTGCTCAAAGCGGCCGGGGTCCAGTTTCCTCCTTGATACAATGGAGGTGATGGTCGTATCTACCCCACAGGGTTAGATTGAAGGGCTCATGTAGGCGGGAGGATATGTCACATCGCCTGGCGCGATGCACGGCACTTCCAAAAAAAAAAAAACCAAACTCACTGCTTTCCAGTCGGTTCTGACTCATAGCGGCCCCTCCTTGAAATGTTGTTGGCTGTTGTCAACTCGATTCTGACTCAAGCCACCCTATAGGACAATGTAGAACTGCACCATAGGGTTGCTGTTGTTGTTATTGTTATGTGCTGTGGTGTCCGACTCATAGCGACTGCTTCTTGGGTTTCCAAGGCAGTATCACTAGGGAAGTAGATTGCCCAGCCTTCCGTCTGAGGAGTGGCTGGGCTGGCGGATTGCTAAGGCAGTAATATTTACGGAGGCAGACTGCTACAGCACTCTCCCGTGAAGTGACTGGTGGTTTCCAACCATAGACCTTATTACCAGTGCTCCTTAAGCAGTGAATTAAAAAAAAAAAAAAAAAACTCACTGCGGTAGAGTCTACTCATAGCAACCCCTCCTTGGGTTTCCGAGGGGGTATCTCTACAGAAGTAGATTGCCGAGGAGTGGCTGGTGGGTTAAACAGTGAATTAGTAACCATTATTCATTCGAGGAACCAGTAAACATTAGTTCATGGCCACACTCACACTAGGGGCGGAGAGATCAGAGAAATGACCTGGACCCATTCTCTGCGACATGGATTTATTGGGACTTACAGGAAGTTCAGGAGTGGCAGGCTGGATGAGAGGGTGGGGGGAAGGAGGGAGGGAGAGAGAACTACAGTCAGCTTTCATACTCAAGTACACAAAAGGGGCACCCTGCCTGGCTTACATGACCTTGGACTCTTACTCCTACATGCTGCGTTCCAAGTAGAGCCCTGAGTCCAGGTGTCCGTGTGAATCTCAGGGGCTGTTTTAAGGCCTAGCTTACAGCCTGGCATGCCCACAAAAACAGTGACCAGAACAAGGCAGCCTGATAGGACCTTTGCCACCTGTAGGTATGCACAGTGTTTATCCTACAACCATCCAGGTGTTAGATGGGGGGCCAGTCACATTGGTGAACAAAACAGCCTTGGGGCTTATTTTTTGGTGGGAAAACATCCCCTCCCCCCCCCCAAAAAAAACCCATACAGCATGTGATGAATAACCTCACATTGTGACAAGAACAATGGAAGAAGCAAAAGGGACAGAAAGAGAAGAGGCATGTTCAGTGTTGTGTGCAGTCAAGGCCCCCGGCTGATGGATATGGTTTGCACTGAGGGCCTGGCCCAGAAGTTGGTTTGAACACACCCAGTGACATGTAAGAAAGGTCTGGTGATCTGCTTGGTGATATGGGATCACCATGAGTTGAATCAACTACAACAACGGTTTAGGTTTTCCTCTGTTGTTTGCCTTTTTAAATGTACAGTCATTGCACACAAACCCCAAAACCAAACTCACTGCCATGGAGTTAATTCTGACTCATACTGACTCTTTAGGACAAAGTAGAGCTGCCCCATAGGGTTTCCAAGGCTGTAAATCTTTACTGCAGCAGACTTCCTTGTCTTTCTCTGGCAGAGCGGCTGGTGGGTTTGAATTGCTGACCTTTTGGTTAGCAGTTGAATGCTTTAACCACTGTGCCACCAAAGCTCCTTCTAATGGGAGGACATCATTATTTAACTTTTCTTCTTCTGTCCCTCTCCCCCTAGAGACGCTGACACCCTTTTTCATGTAAACAGCTGCACCCTAAGCCTCCAGTATCTCTGAAGTAATTTGCAAAGTCCACTTTCCCCTTCTTGGCTGGAAAGAGGCAGAACCCAGCAACTGCCAGGCCTCGGTCTTCCTCCCACTTGGACTCTCTGCTGGTCGATTGCGCCATCTGCCCTCCCAGCTAGGCTGTTAGCCTCACCAAGTGGGGGCCACGTCTGGCTCATTGCCCTGAACCCAGAGCCTAGCACAGTGCCTGGCAACATGGGAGGGACTTCCTGAACACCTGCTGCTCTATCCAGACTGGAGGAGTCCTGAGCAATGCAAAGAATTAAGCACTTGTATTAACCACAAGGTTGAGAGTTTGGACCCACCCAGAGGCACCTTGGAAGAAAGACCTGGATATTGACTTCTGAAAGGTCATAGACTTGATAACACTACGGACTGCAGTTCCACTCTGCAACACATGGGGTTACCATGAGTCAAAATCAACTCCACAGCCAACCAGCTTTAGCTCTGAGTAGATGCCACCTATCAAAGACAGACTGGAAAACTAGGAGGCGTCAAGTACAGTTAGCTGTTTGCTTTGCAGAAAGAGCTCTTACCCACACTAAAGATCACCTAGTTGAATGGTTGAAACTCACCATCTTTATTGCCTATAACGGTGCTGTGAACCACAGCAAACCTACACAAGTAGCTTGTTTCCTTCCACATAATTGGATCCAGGTGATCCGGCTCCCTGACACCCAAGGCTGCTGGTTTCATTATTTATTAACTTTCACTTAAAACTCACGCTTTCAGAAAACAATCGAAGAGTAAGAAACTTGTCCTGTTGCTAAGACCCCAGAGGTCTTGGAATGACGGCTCCCTGATCTTGTGATAGTCATAGGACTGCTGAGCAAGGTTTGTATATTTCAACTTCGATGCTATATGAACCCATAAGGCCCTCTTACGAGATGTCAGTATCCTTAAATAATTGTCAGCAATCAGAAAATGTGTTTGGAGTTCCTGATTCCATTGCATCTATGCCCCCTGAAAGTGTGAATTACTGGAGCACCAATCCACTCAGGGATGGTGGGCTACACAGTTTGCAAACTGTCTGTTGAACCTGCGGGGCAATCTGTGAAGGGGGTTCCGAGCTGTTTCTTTTGACAGAGGGGACCCACCCTGCCTGGCTCCTTTCTATTGCTAGCATTTCGCACAGTTCCTGGCTCAGAGACAGGAGAGGTATCACAGAGGAACAGGGTGGATACAGGCTGGCAGGGGGCCTCCCACGACAGAGGAAAAGTATGCAAGCTGTCAGAACCAGGCCTGGGGGAGGGTTCTGGCTTGAGAGGCAGAAGGAGCTGGCAGAATGGCCTGTACGTAAGTTTGCTGTGTGACCCACACGGAGCCACAGCCTCTCTGAGTGTCTGTTTTCTCCACTATAAAAGAATGGGATGGGATCGCTAGGAATGCTGCCAGTTCTACAAATGATTTTAAAAGTCTCTAGATTTCCCAGTAGACACAAATAGGTCCTGGGTCTCTGCTGGCTTGGAAGCCCTTCCTGGATAACTATTTGCCAGTGAAACAGCAACCAAGATTCACTTCCACTTAGTGATTACAAGAGTGGGCTTTATGGACAGACCTGCTGGGTTTCAGTTTTTATTCTACCACTTCCAAGCTCCGCAGTCTTGGGCAAGGTATGTACTTCACTGGGCCAGAATTTTCTCTCTTGTAAGATGGGGGTAGTAACAGTATTTACCTGTTAGGGTTGTGTGTTAGACTGGGTTCTCCAGAGAAACAAAAACCAGCAAAGCTTATATATTTGTTGTTGTTATGTGCTGTCGAGTCAGCCCTGACTCATAGCGACCCCTCCCTGGGTTTCCGAGGCAGTATCACTACGGAAGCAGGATTGCCCAACCTTCCTTCCGAGGAGTGGCTGGTGGGTTTGAACTGCCAACCGTCTGGTTAGCAGGCAAGTGTCTTAGCCACTATGCTACCAGAGCTTATATATATATATATATATATAGAGAGAGAGAGAGAGAGAGAGAGAGAGAAGCTTATATATATATAGACAGAGAGAGAGGGAGAGAGAAAGAGAAAAAAAATTTATCTTAGGAAATGCCTCACAAACGTATAGAAGCCGGCAAGTCCAAAGTCCCTGGATCAAATGTCAAGCTGGAGGCTTTTCCTAGCTCCCACAACCACAGGGGCCGAGAAGCTCAAGGCTAGCAGGCGGTACACCGGCTGTTGACTCCAACGAATGACGAATCCAAGATCTCCAGGCCGAACGGTGGACTGCTCACTCACAGACAGTTGTAGGCAGCACAATGGAATCCTGATCCACAGAAGAATGTCTCTCTTCCCAGGATGTCCCTGGATATCCTGGAAGCAGGCCACACCCCTAGGGAAATTCCCCTTGAATAGATTGGCCACTCAGAACACAGTCATCCAATCCCATCATGGGAACGACCACACAGAACTGGGGTCCAGCCAAGTTGACACACAGCTCTGACTATCACAGTCCACCTTAACCATATATAGTCTCTAAATAAGGACAATTATAAAGTCCTATTTGTGCCTAACGTGATATGTTAACACACATACAACTAAAATGCATTAACCTTATTTACATTTCACAGTTCATAACAGAAGGAAACAAAAATATTTGATGCACATATACAATGAAGAAATATAACAATCACAGTCCTTGTTTCTGCAGCTGGTCACGTGGTCATAGCTGATATTCAGAACTACCTTCTTCCACCACCCATTCTGTATTTCCCTTGCCCTCAGCAAGCACCTCAGCTGTTCGTGGTTCTTTGCCTGGTGGGGTGACCCAAACCTTCATTCCTGAAGGGTCTGGGCCATTAGCAGTCATATCAGAATTGGGTTGCTGTAATTTTCCATTGACTTTAATCACAGGGCATGGTAGTACTAAAAGATGTCCTAAAGAATCTCCTGTATTCCAGACATTCCTCCATTATGTAAAGCCAACCCAATTTCCCCTTGGTAATCAGGATCTATCACACTAGATAGGACAGTTATGCCCTTCTTTGTCTGTTGATCCAGAGGCATGAGGAAGCCAAAATGGCC